AGACCCACCTGTGCCCTCTCATAGTGGGGTGATAACCACAGTCCACTCAGAGCATGGGCGCTGAGAATGGAACTCAGACCCTCATGCATACCAGGCAAATGCTGTAGGCTCTGAGCGGGTTCCTCTGCCCACAGCTTATGCGCCAAATGACTTTTCTGTGTCAGTCACCTGTTGGTTTTGCATATGAATTTGGTCACAGTTTTACACTTCTGTATCTGTCAGCACTTGCATATCAATTCCCAATCTCTTACTAGGGTTGTCTGTTGCTGGAGTTTGATTCTTTGCAGTTTTGTGCTTGGTGTCTGTTGAGGCTTGTTGCTTTCATTTACCTATGAGGTGGTGATATGCAAATTGCCTGAGTGTATCTCTGTGCCCGAAACACTCACATGACCTTTGTCCAGGGCTTGGGTGCTGCTGTGAATAGTCTGTTCCCTTCCTCTTGTAAAACTGCCAATCCTGCTGCCTCAAAGCCCCACCCACCCTTATAATCTAATTTAACCCTAGTGAGTTCCTTAGAGGCTCCAAGCCCATGTACAGTCGGTCACAGTAGGCACTATGCCTTTAACATATGAAGTTTAGGAGAACGTAGCCCAGTTCCTGGTGTCATAGAACACAGATGTTCATGAACTCAGCATGGGGTTGCATCTCTCTAATAAAGTCACCGAATTGTGAAGCTGAACTGTACAAGATAAGTGTGGACTACCTGTACAGAGACAGACTTAGTTAGTTAGTACCTGGCACATATTAATTAGCTAATTGTAATGCAGTTAGAGGTAAGTTTAAAGCCAGCTTCTTGTCTTTTCTTTTGCAGGTGCTAACTGGGTCCCTCACTGGAACAGGAGGAACAGTATTTTCTACCTTTCTGAACCACAGACCAAGAAGCTAAGAGAATCTATGTAATTAAACTGAAATCTCTGTTGGCTTTGCACCCCCCACCCCGGAGCCACACTTCACCTGTCTGAGGAGTGTGCAGAACTAGACCAGTCACTATGAATGTCACCAGCTTGTTTTCATTCACAAGTCCAGCTGTGAAGAGACTCCTTGGGTGGAAACAGGGCGACGAAGAAGAGAAATGGGCAGAGAAAGCTGTGGACGCTTTGGTGAAGAAACTGAAGAAGAAGAAAGGGGCCATGGAAGAATTAGAGAAGGCTCTGAGCTGCCCAGGGCAGCCGAGTAACTGCGTCACCATTCCTCGATCCCTGGATGGAAGGTTGCAAGTGTCCCACCGGAAGGGACTGCCTCACGTCATTTATTGCCGTGTATGGCGCTGGCCTGACCTCCAGAGCCACCATGAACTGAAGCCTCTGGAATGCTGTGAGTTCCCGTTTGGTTCCAAGCAGAAGGAGGTCTGCATCAACCCCTACCACTATAAGCGAGTGGAGAGCCCCGGTGAGTGACTGTGTGCCCCATGCGCCCTACCCTGTGAGTCCCACTGAGATCAAAACAAAAGCTGCTTTCTGCTTTTGGATTGTAATTCCAAAATATTTGGGAGAAATTCTGTATTTATTTGTACATGCGTGTGCAAGAGAGAAAGAACACAGGAATGCTCACATTCTTCCCTCCGGTGTAGAGAGAAAAGACTCACTTTGGTCACGAGTTTGAAAGTATCAGTCCTTGGTCCTGCCGGCCCTGTACTCTCTGACCTGCAGCACAGGAGTACCCTGGGGTGGAGTGGGTGGCAGAGCAGAGCTCATGTCTAAAGAGGAAGGAGCTCGAGCCCCACCATACCCTTCAGTGACTGGGATATTTCACATGAGGCTTTGGGGACAAGACTTTAGCACTTGAACACTCTCCAGGAGTGCTCTCCAGGCCCACATTTTAGCAGCCCCTGGGTGTTTCATGCATGTTAACTGCCCCCTTCTCTCTAAGTGACTTTCTTAGGAACAGGTTCTGAAAATTGGATTTTGTGTCTGAATTTGCTGTGAATGTTGCACATTGGTCCTGTTTATCTCTCTAGCAAGTTTAGCGGTGCAGTGCACCAGAAGAAGACAACAGAAGCATAGGCTCTTCCCTGTGTTCTGAAGGGAGGGGACCATGGGGGCAGCCCAAGGAACAGCAGCATGGGGCAGCCATGACTAGAGCCAAGTCGTGTTTTCTGGCAACACCTTTTGTCATCCATGTGGCAGTGTGCTGCGGCATGTCCCCTGCAGGACTGTTCTGCCGCGCAAGGATTTGATATTGTTTGCTTTATGGGAATCTCTGGCTTTATATATATGGCACTGGGGTATGGTAAAGGCTGTGTAGTCTGCCCTCTCCATATGTGGATTCCAAATCAATATACAGAATCAGCTGCAGACCCTTCCTGGTACTTTCTCTTTCAGTTTAGTGGCTGAAAAAGTCAGTGGACTCCATTGCTTCTGGGGCCCAGGGCTCAGCAGGGCTTCCTCTTCCACCATAGGCTTCTAATGAGAGGGATGGCCACCATGTACAGATCACGGCCATACCTGTGCCTGGTGCTGCTTTAGGGTGACCTGTGAGCTCTTGTTGCCGGCAGTCCTCTTATAGGCTGGCTTGCACTGGCCAGACCAGCTTTGTGACCACACAGCAGAGGGCTGCATTCCCAGAGTCTTGGGAGTAAATCAGCCCATGGTACCAGGAAATTGGGCTCTTCCGATGGTTGGGCTGAGTGCTGTCCAGCTGTTCATTTCTCTTGATCAGGAACCTGGAGCAGTTCTGCATGACTAACCATTGCAGACAGAGAAGGACAGAAGCCCCTCTTATTCTCTAAACAGCCCAGTGACCGTCTTCATGGCATTTATATCATATCGGCATTGGAAGTGATTCAGGGGTGATTTAACATGTAGGGCAGATGACACAGGTTCCACGCAGATCCTGTGCTGTATTACACAAGGGACTTGAGGGTCTGTAGGGAGCTCTGTGCCAGTCCCCCATGGATACAATCCTCTACGTTTTTAATTTATATAGTTTTGCCCCTGAGTTTGACTCTGCACTGCACAGGTGGATCAACCGGCAAGCGGGTCAAGTGCTTCACTGTCGTCCGTGGAGGAGGATGTGGTTGAGATTGCTCACTTAGATGCTGGTTTATGGTGTCAAAATCATGAGGCTCCCCTCCCTGCTCCTGCTCCTGGGATGGCCAGGTGATTTCCTTCTCTTACTGGAACTTCAGACACCAGGGAAAGAGGAGTCACTTCAGTGAGTGCAGACCTACTGTGTGGTCATGCAATGATGTGTTTCTCTCTAAAGGCATTTTGTATTTTTGTGCAATATTTAAGTCATGAAAAGTAAGGACTAGGAGTAATTAGCAAACACTTCTGTGTCCACTTCTGTGTCCACCACCTAGTGTAAGACAGAGAGCATATGAACTAAAACCGTGTGTGACTGTACACACATTCCTGTTGGTAACTACCGTCCTGAACTCGACCTTCATCTCCACATGTATTTTACACTAACACATGGATCGAGAGGAACACATATCATTTTGTGTATTTTAAAATATTCTATAATGACATTAGATTTTCCTGGAACTGACGGTTGTGTGCAATGCATAGTATGCTGCATGATTCTAGAATGTATGTTTTTAGGATTACCTTGTCTAGCGCTATGCAGGGCCTTCTCGGATGTTGGAATTTCATTTGAGAAGGACTGATAACATTAGACCCATCACATAATATTATCTGGTACTCTAAGTTTTTGCTGTACACTTCATACGTATCTTCTAGCTTTACCTCCAGGTGCCTTTTTATTGGGCCCTTTGAAAATTGCACTGTTACAGGTTGTTCTGGGCTACGACGACATTTGCCCCTTTCCCTAGCCTTGCCGGGTTCTCATGAGCTTTGGTATTCTTTACTCTTGGTCTGACCAGATGGGATGTGGGGTTTTGTTTTTGTTTATTTTTAGGAACATCTCATATACAGACACATGGTTTTCTTTTAGCCAGAAACTAAAATGGAGATGGGATTCTCGGAGGGTAAAAAGTATCGTGTGAATATTATATACAAAGTAGATTCTGGGAACTTGTGTTTCGGCTGACATGGTCCACAGGGAAAATTTTAATGCTGCGTATATAATGAAAAGGAGTCCTCCGAGTCAAGCGACTTACGGTGTCAGACATCCGGAAAGCAGAGGGGTTTGGGGACGGGAAGTGCTCTCACACCTAAGGCATTGTTAGGAGTATTGTGGGCACGCATGCTCTCCACCACCCCACTCTCACTCCGCGGCATTGCTGCAGCCCCCACCTCATACGTAAACTGCTTACGTCAGCTGCGTAGCCCCTGCAGCTGAAATCCATTAAGAAGTGGCGGTGATCGGAAGGCCAGCTTTCACTGTCACTCTTTACTAGATCGATTTCCTGCCTCCTTTCCCACTTCCTTTCCCATTTTCTCCATGGCTGTGTGCTTGCTTGTGCTCTTGCTGTCTTTCCGTCTGTCCCTAACTCCTTCTTCCTCCCTCCCTCCAGGGCCAGCTCACTTCTCTTTCTCTTTCAAGTCTAATCTTGCAGAGGTCTGTTTAGGTGGGACTCTTCTTTGATCACGCCATTTTTGTACCCCAGAGAGATTATGCCTTTCCCATAGCATCCCGAGCTTCTTCATAATAAACTTAACAGCCAGTACTGTTCAGCTGATCTCCGTGAGTAAAGAAAGTGTTGGGCGGGCACTGTGCTGGTGTCTCTGTCTCAACTACCACAGTGACACTGATCATTGTCATCACTGAAAATGCTGTGACTAATTTATCCATATGGACATCTGTCTTTCTAGAGGTGGGTTTTCCATTTGTCTGCAGCCTTTGAAAACCATCTTCCTCTGTTCAGTCATTTCCTTTCTGGTGTAAGATAAAAAGGGAAACCATTCCTGGCACAAGTCTTAGTTACTTAGTAACTTGCTCTAACATAAAGGTTTGATGAGGAGGTGGAAGGCTGGCCAAATATGACTCTTGGTTTGATGTCCTTTCTCTTCTTCAGCCAAGAAGGTTGTCAGTCACTCGCAGGGCACTTCTGGAAACCCACTGAGGGTAAGGCAGAGATGTATTTGATTTAAATAGACCAGGGCTTTCCTTTTATTTTTCATGCTGTGAAGTGGTGGTGTGTCCTCTTAGAGTGCTTGTGTGTGATCACATGACAACTGCACCTTGCTGGCACTCATGATTGATATTCATGCTAAGATTGCTGAACCGATGGTTAGGTGTTCAGGCTGGCCAGGCCCCACTGCCCTTTTAGGTTCTCCCATTCATAAGGTGCTAGTGAGTTGGCCTTTAAGTCATTGAGCATTTGGGGCTTTTCTTGTTCTGATACTTGCTCTTTCTAGATCTTTCCTTCAGATAGTCAAGTTTAATGAGAGAAATGATTGATTTCATTTCAAAGAAATGCTCAGGCAGATTTTGTCATTGTTCTCTTGAGTATCATCACTTTCTATTTCTTTGTCCCAAAATAATGTCATCAATTTAAGTAGTTACAGTTTTCCTCATCCTGTGCCATGTACTATGTTACACATCCCAGCGCTCTGGGGAAATGTTGCCTCTTGTGCTCACCGAAGCCCCGGAGACCCTTCCTTTGGTGGAAAGGTCTACTCTGGCCACCGTTGAAACACATGGCTCTCAAGAAGGCCTTTGGAGTCTCTCCCTGCACACGTGTAGACACTTGCAGGAAACAGTTCTCACAGCTCCTGGTACTCTGGCCCAGCTGCTGACGGAGCAGTCCGACTGTTTGCTTGGACTTTTACTAGCCTTCAGAGTAGAGGCTGCTTATTAGTGGTTGGATTAAATATTGCTTCTCTTTTTCTTCTCCCAAAGTAAATGCTGACCAAGGCTGAGTAACCACCTAATTGTGGTATTGAGAGGACCACTCGGCTGCTGTCCACTGCTCCCAAAGTGCCTTACTGGGGGTTTCCTGTCCACTGGCCCCCCTTTCTGTCTCTCTCCCTCTCTCTCTCTTTTTCCTCATGTTCCTAAAAATTATTTTTGCACTTTGAACTTCATTATGGAAGCCCTTATCAAACCCAGGTTTTAAAATTCTGAGATTTTTATCAAGTATGCCAGTTACATCCATGTATTTCACCTATAATCCCAGCACTCAAGGAGCTGAGGAAAAAGATTGTTTGGGGCCACATGGCAAGACTTTGTCTCATAAGACACCATCCCCTAAACAAATAAAGTTTGAAATTTCCACTAACAATGAAAATGGAAATCTCAGCTTAGTTGGCAGCCTTGTGGCTGCTGGCTGCTTAAAATTGAAATACACTGAAACTCTCCTTTACCTGTTGGCTGAATATGGGCTTCAACTCCAGCCGCCCCATTCATCCTGGAAGAAAATGTTTTAAACATTATAGAACTGAAGAAAGATTCATTATTGCCCAGCAGGCATAGGACAGGGCAGGCAGATACCGAGGAAAGAGGCAAGCTGCGTGGGTCCTGAGGATGCTGGAGTTTTTCTAGAT